TGTCCTGGAACTCTACACCAGGCTGGCTTTGAAATCACAGAGATCCTCCTGCCTCTGCCTCCCAAGTGTTGGGATTAAAGGAGTGAGACAACAGGGGCCCAACACTTAACATGTTTTCCACTCAGGGAAATGAGGTCTTCGGTAAAAGTTCAGGTTTGGCTGTAGAAGTGTATGTTTGTTAGCACAAGACCTAGCTCACACAGTGGCCATTATTTGCTCACGGAAATGATTTAGTGTTTGTCTACATCAGCGCAAGGGTCCGCATCCTAAGGTCACCCAGGTTACCGGTGACTTGGTAAGAGCATCATAAAGAAAACAATGAGCTCCACAGGGAGTTCTTCCGTGACTCATGCAGGCTTTAAAATGGCGCTTTTTGATTTAGAAGAACCAGGCAGGGCGGCATCTGAGAACCTATCCAGACAAGCTTCTTCCACTTTTTTCAGTTCAGAGTTGAGTGTTCCTCCCATGACCTGCTTTCCTTTGCGGTTCATCTGCTCGGGGGGTCTCGGGTGACCATGGTCCTGCGTGTTGAAGCAGCAGAGTATTTCTGCTCACTGAGAGTCAGGAGAAGAGTTCGTATGCCCAGGCTCCATAGCTAATGTGCTGCTTGCTGTATACCCTGGCTCTCACCCTCCAGGTGGACCTCTGGAATTGCAGCCCCCAAACGTACCCTCCGTGGTGCAATCTCAACCTAAGGAACAAAAGCGTTTGATGAGGGCTGATGGGTCTGTGTGCAGAGCTGGCGTGGCTCCCAGCCTCATCTCCAGCATTCCGTCTTCATTATTTCATAGTCCAGACAGAATCCACGCCTTCTAGCAGAGTGCCATCTTCTGTATTAATTATACCACTCTGTTTAATCTCCAACAATATATAGAGAATAATTAAAGGGGGGTAGTTATGACTCTCTAAGCGCATGAAGCTTAATTAAGGAGAGGAGCTAGCTTTTCTTTTGAGTGCCATCCAACACCGCTGAATGAAAATAAAACACCCAATTAACAGACCACTGATTGTGTCTAAAAGATAAAAGATAACAGCAGGGTTCACTCACTATCAGACCTCCTGTGAAATCAGACACAGTGGCATCCCATAATTTCTATGCGGAAATAACTTGCCAGAATTAAATGCATTTGGGAAGTGTGCACACAGGCGTACCCTAGTACCTTCCGACAGACATGTTGGAAAAATGTCAGCATCATTTCCCCACAGCACCAGTGCTTTGGTTCTCATAGACTGGCATGCTGGAATTTGTTTGTCCCCTCCCTGTTCCTTGGGGCTGGAGAGATGGCTCAGAGGTTAACAGCACTGGCTGTTCTTCCAGAGGTCCTGAGTTCAATTCCCAGCAACCACACAGTGGCTCACAGCCCTCTGTAATGAGATCTGGTGCCCTCTTCTGGCCTGCAGGGATACATGCAGTCAGAACACTGTATACATAATAAATAAATAAATCTTTTTAAAAAGTGCCCTATTCCTGCTCCCCCCTTTGTGAAGTAACGTCCCATGGTCCCCAATGCCCATTTTCCTCTCCCTCACCATACCTTCCCTCAGCACTTAGTGAAGTAGTTGTCACTGACGTATGGGGTACGCTACCAATTTCTACTGTGGTTTATGGCTGAAATTGCAGTTAAAAGTGTGGCTGTTGGTACCAGACAGACCTGAATTCAACACCATAGCTGACTGGTTAGCAGCTCTGTGATTTCCGTAGCTTGGTTTCTCTGTAGGAGCTGGCGTGCTCAGGAGTGGTTGCTGGCCCGGAGCAGGCAAAAGGCCTCCTGGTTGGCACAAGGCTTGGCAGTGGTGTGTGCCTTCTCCACTAGAGCACAGGTATCATGCCAAGAGCCTTCGGGCTTGAATGACAGGTGTGGTAGACAATGATTTGCAGGTGTGTGACTTTTGTTTGTGCTGCATTTCCTTGACTCTGTGAAGCTGTGATTCTCTGCCTGTCTAAAACACCTGGTGATCTAACAAAGCCCTGAAAGGCCAATATTGTGTGGCAGGAGCAAGGACAGGCGGCGCTGACAGAGAGAGAGGATAAATCGAAGGAGAAAGGAGGGGAAAAGGAGGACGCTGGGGGCCAGCCACCCAAACAAATTGTATCTTGCGAGGCAATTACGGAAGAATCGAGAAATCCAATTTTAAATTCTGCTTTCTGCTTTTTTTTTGTCAGAAACGTGGGAGTTTGTTGGTTTGGCATAGGCAGCAACAATTCACAACCTTCTCAAACACAGTGCATGATTAGAAACTGCACGGTGCAATGCTGTTTTCTTTTCATTTCCCTCCCTCATTTAGCTTGCAGTACTTATTTTAAAATCAGCAGAAACTCTTGACTGCCCTAAGAGAAAAGTGGAACAAGGATAAACTTAGAAAAGCCAAAGTAAATGAATGAACTTAACAAAAAGCAAAAAACAAACAAAAAAGTTGCCAGAGGCCAAAGAAGAAAGATTCAACCCATTATAGTTGATGGGGTGCAGATCAAATCAGTCAGGGACCGTGTTTTGAATATCAGTTTGGAACGAGACAATCTGAAAGGGCAAGCCATCCTGGGTATAAATTGTTCCTCCCCAGAACGATTTGACCAAATCAGTTATCCCTAAGATTATAGCTGGGCCCAGTGACACACATCATTAACCCCAGCACTCAGGAGGCAGAAGCAGGCAGATCTCTGTGAGTTCTAGGCCAGCCAGGGCTGCCCAGTGAGAACTTGTCCTGACAAAACAAAAACCTTATTTCTGAGAAAATGCTTTTTAAATTTTCTTTTGTTTTGGTCCTGGGTGTGGGACCCAACTTCTCCTTACAACTTCTCCTTCCCCCAACCCTTTCCCTACCAGCTGGCTACACCTTCTGCCCCTGAGAATTTACTTTAATGAAATATAATTAAATTTATATAAAATTTGGCTGTAAAAAAACAAAACACTGGTGTAGCAAACTTAGCTGTCCAGCTGAGTAACCCATAAGAATAAAGTCATAACCAGGTGGTAGAGGCTCGTGCCTTTAATCCTAGCACTTGGGAGGCAGAGGCAAGTGTATCCCTGAGTTCAAGGATAGCCCGGACTACAGAGCGAGTTCCAGGACAGACATCCAAGACTGTACTGAGAAACCCTGTCTCAACCACTGCTCCCCACAGAGAAAACCAACCCAAAACACCCTCCCAACCCCCAAACCAAAAACCAAAACAAGAATAAAGTTATGCCACAAGATCTGATATGATGGTATTTGGTCCCCAATAAATAATTTTAGGCACAAACAGATGCTAGAGATGGGCCAAGTAAAACAATACATCAATGAAACGATATTTATTACATTACTGTGTAAAAATATTAAGGGCACTAGATGAGAAAGAACACACAGATAAGGCTTAAAGGTAGTTAATTGTGAGACTGTAGACTGTGGTTGCTTTTTTCTTATTTCTTATCTGACTTCCCTAAGTTGAATATACATACTTGTACGTTCAAAGTTTACGTGCTTGTTTAAAATGTAAGGATTGGGGGCTGGAGAGATGGCTCAGAGGTTAAGAGCACTGGCTGCTCTTCCAGAGGTCCTGAGTTCAATTCCCAGCAACCACATGGTGGCTCACAACCATCCTTTATGAGATCTGGTGCCCTCTTCTGGTGTGCAGATAGACATGGAAGCAGAAATGTGTAGCTTGACACAGCAGTAGCCAGAAAAATAGGCATTTGCCTATTGGCAAATAACGTGTTATTGAGAGAGTCCTCCTTTGATGTTTGTGTGTGTGAGTGTGTGGTGTGTGTGTGTGCTGTGTATTCTGTGTGTGCATGTTCAGTGTGTGCATGTATGTATGGGTGTGTGCGTGTGTACTGTGTGTTCTGTGTGTGCATGTGTGTGTGTGTGAGTGTATGTGTGTGTGTTTTGAGCCGGGGTCTCATGTATCAAACTTGTCCTGTCACAAGGATAACCCAAGCCCTCCAAGTGCAGGCAGTGACTACGGACACGCGGCTCCCCACCTGGCTACTCTGCTGAGCCCCTTTTCTCTTTCCATGCCGTAGCTGACTACAAGGAGAGCTTCAACACCATCGGGAACATTGAAGAGATCGCGTACAATGCTGTCTCCTTTACCTGGGACGTGAATGAAGAGGCAAAGGTTAGTGAAACCTACGGTGGCTCTTAAGACTTTTCCAAACCTTGGGCAGCCGTTTCCTAGAAGCTTGAACTTATTCCGCCTTTTGGAAGCCTCACACCTTTGCTTTTTTGTTGGGACAGGCTTCTGCCCTGACAAAATATGGTCAGGCACCACCTCGCTCCCCAGTCCTTCAGATCACTTTAGAACTTGTATCTGTCACTCAGAGTCTGAGTCTCCTACGGCCTCCTCGGCTTCTCTCTGCCACCATCAGGCTGTCATCATGGTCAGTGACCCACAGCTTCAGTTAGGGGTGGGGGCGGGGCTCAGAAGTGGGGCTTCCAATCACATTTCCCCACTACGACTTTGAAAACGTCTTTGTTGACCGCATGACCCTTTTCTGTCCCTCTGGGTGGAAGTGTGGTTAAGACTGCAGAGGTGAATAACATCCCTGACAAAAAACAGGCGTCAAGGATGGATGTCCGCACTGCATGGATTGGATAAGAACGTGTTTGCACAGATAGCCCTGTTTGCTCTCAGCCGCCTTCTGGATCTCGGCTTCTTCTGGTTCCTCAGCCTCACTTTGCACTTAAAGGAATGTTTCAGATAAAACTAAGCTTGTTTTCTGCTTCAGTTGTGTACCATCTGGGTGAGTGTTGGAAGGCCCTGTCTGCAGTCTCAGGAGGAGGTCAATGTAAACAAGGCTGTCAATGGCTCATTGTCCTCCCGAGGGAAGGCTGGGTGAGAGAGGAAGCTGGCTGCGGAGCTTGCAAGCAGGCTTTCCCCGAAGAACGTGAATTGCTCAGTGTCTCATTCCACTCAGGCAGAAAACAACGCTGGTGAAACTGGCCTTAGGCCGGGAAAGGTG